TTGATGGACTTTGCATCTGTGAACTCATCTGCCACTCAAAGGAGCCCATGAGACAAGCACTTCACCGTCCTCTGCACTTTACAGAAGAAAGTGGGGCACTGAGATGTGCTGTAGTTGCCCAAGGTCACAAGGCCAGGAAGGATGGCACCAGGATTCAAGACCCAGCAGCAGAGTTTCCAAATCCCGTTTCTCTGAACCATCCCCCAAGGACACAGAATAACGAAAGTGACAAACTGAGTGAATTGCTGATTTTCTCTAAAGAGAATAAACAGAGCACATTATCTGCTCCAACCTGCTTCCTGCTGTCTCCCAGAATACCCTGGAGACTTTCTCAGGTTAGGAAATCCTGCAGAGGCCTCAGTTGAGTTAGAAGCACTTCTATTTTAATCAAGTCCTGCACCTTTAGCCATCCCAGAAGGTGACTGGGGCGTACGCTCTCCTTTGCTCTTTTTTTTTTTTTTTTTTTCTTTTTGAGACAGAGTCTCACTCTGTTGCCTAGGCTGGAGTGCAGTGGTGCGATCTCAACTCACTGCAACTTCCGCCTCCCAGGTTCAAGTGATTCTCCTGCCTCAGACTCCTGAGAAGCTGAGACTACAGGCGCCTGCCACCACACCCAGCTAGTTTTTGTATGTTTAGTAGAGATGGGGTTTCACCATGTTGGCCAGGATGGTCTTGATCTCTTGACCTTGTGGTCCAGCCGCCTCTTTGGCCTCCCAAAGTCCTGGGATTATAGGCATGAGCCACCGCGCCCGGCCTGCTCTTTTTGTTAAGAAGGTACTGCCATGGTTTTGGAAATTCACTTTACAGCCACATCTCAAGCCAAGATATCTCAGTACAAGGCTCACCAAATCCTCGATCCAATGGGCCACTAAACTTAAAGGCAAAAATACGTCCATTTTGTCTCCAAAATGGCCTCCCCCAGAAATGAGTGTAGAATGAAATAATACGATTAAACAGAATATGGCAAGACTGCAAGCAGAGGGGAGGAAACAGAAACCAGAGACAATTAAGAAACAGTTCTGCGTGCTGGAAAATGATAATGGATCATTTTTCTTTTTCATCTCAGTTTGTGATTCAGTCTTTCTGGTAATAGATCATTCTTTAAGCCTGCCGGAACTGCAGAGAAGATGCCCATGTCCTTTTGCTCTTCCTCCTTTTCCTGGGCTCAGTCTGCACCTCTTTTCGAGCCTCTGTGACACAGTTGTGTTTTAGAATTCCTGAACTAGATAGACATCCTTTTCTAGAACTGTTGGCTGAACCTGTGTTCCTGAGATGGGAGAAAAGAGCCATTTCCACAATGGTGAGCCCATCTGCAGTCTGCTCCTAACAGCTGCTTTTCGTGGCTCTGAATCAAGTTGGAGAAATCATCCTGGATCTCTGGAGCCATTCCATACTTTTCAGGGCCTAGCAAGACATCGCAGTCTCCCTTAGCAAACAAAGGCAGAAGAAAACCTGTATTGGGCTGGGCCTATTTCCCTAGCATGCATGTAGCCATGTGTATGGCTACCGAGCAGCACTGTTTAAAGACAAGAACCAGAAAACTGTGGATGAGACCAAACGTGTACATAGGTATGTGTATGCACCCTCCCGAGACTAGTGACAAATCTTTTTCTTTTTTTCTGAGACGGAGTCTCACTCTGTCATCCAAGCTGGAGTGCAGTGGCACGATCTCAGCTCACTGCAAACTTCGCTTCCTGGGTTCAAATGATTCTCCTGCCTCAGCCTCCTAAGTAGCTGGGATTACAAGCATGTGCCACCACACCTGGCTAATTTTTGTATTTTTAGTAGAGATGGGGTTTTACCATGCTGGTCAGGCTGGTCTGGAACTCCTGACCTCAGGTGATTCTCCCACACTGACCTCCCAAAGTGCTGGGATTACAGGCTTGAGCCACCATGACCTGCCTGTTTTAAAAATTATTATTAATTTTTGTTTTGTTTTGTTTTGTTTTGTTTGTTTTGTTTTTGAGACGGAGTTTCGCTCTTGTTACCCAGGCTGGAGTGCAATGGCGCGATCTCGGCTCACCGCAACCTCCGCCTCCTGGGTTCAGGCAATTCTCCTGCCTCAGCCTCCTGAGTAGATGGGATTACAGGCAAGCGCCACCATGCCCAGCTGATTTTTTGTATTTTTTAGTAGAGACGGGGTTTCACCATGTTGACCAGGATGGTCTCGATCTCTTAACCTCGTGATCCACCCGCCTCGGCCTCCCAAAGTGCTGGGATTACAGGCTTGAGCCACCGTGCCCGGCCTTATTATTAATTTTTAATTGACAAAATTTGTTTATATTTATGATGTACAACATCCTTTATTAATTTATTTATGTTGTTTATTTGTCAAACAGGGTCTCGCTCTGTGGCCCAGGCTGGAGTGCAGTTGTGCAATCACGGCTCACTGAAGCCTCAACTTCCCAGGCTCAAACAACCCTCCTGTCTCAGCCTCCCCACTAGCTGGGACTACAGGCATGCACCACCACATTGGGCTAATTTTCAAATTTTTTGTAGAGATGGGGGTCCCTGTCACCCAGGCTCCACCTCAGTCTCCCAAAGTGTTGGATTACGGGCATGAACCACTGCGCTGGTCCATGTTTTGATGCATGTATACATTGTGGGATGGCTAAACCAAGCTAGTTAACATACACATTACCTTACATACTTATCCAGTGATAAATCTAAAGCTCTTTTTTGGAAGTCCAAACTGTTGTGAGTCAGAGTCAAGACGATGGGGTTCATCGCTCAGAGAGTTTGCTACTGAAGCCTAGGTTTTTCTTTTCCAAGATAAAAGAGAATACAGAGGAATACATAAATACTGAGATGAAACCTTTTATTTTTCAAGGTAACATGACAACTGAATGAATAGAACAACAGCAAAAGATTCTTTCTTCTCCTTCACTCTGATGTACCATGAGTGTGAGTTCATTCAAAGGCAGACGCAAAGGGTCTGGGGCTACATTCAGGCCTGATTCTGTCCACACTGTATGATGTCTACAGCTTCAGAATGCGGAATGGTCTTCAGGAGTCTCTGACAGATGTATCTCATGCAGTGATTTCTGGTACACTGCTGATCAGTCTTCAAAGGCTGTTCTTTGGTCACGCTCCATAAAACTTGAGCCAGCCCATTTTTCCTTGTCACACTCCTGAAATATGTTGGGAAAAATTTACATGGCAACAAACACCACTTCCCTTCTTGGCTAAGTCGCTCCTCTCACTTCATCCCCTGCTCCCTCTCTCCCAGCCCTATAGGGCCTTGGTAGTCTGGCCTTGCCTGCCCGACAGGGTTTGCATTTCAAGTCGCTTAAGTGTTCTATTTTTGGTACACGGCATGCCATTGCAAAAGCAGTTTCAGGCTCATAGAATTTTAGAAATGGGCCTAGTTTCCCAGCCGGATGGGGTGAGTGGGTGAAGAATCAGCCTTGATTGAATGCCTATTGAGTGCCAGGAACTGTTAGCATCTACCGGAGTTTATTTAATCTTCTCATCAGCTACTATTGTTACCCTTGGTTGCCAAGTGAAGAAATCAGGGAGCATGCAGAAAGCTTTAGTGACTTGCCCAAGGGCACAACAACCGGTGGGAGCCTCAATTCCAACCCTAGTTCAAAGGCTACCTGCTTCCAGGCGGCCTCCTACTGGGTTGGTTAAGGGCTGAAAGGGCCGTGGAACAATAACTGAGGCCCATACTGCCCAGGGCGTCCCCATCCCCCATCCGGCGCTGGAAGAGGCCAGAGACCGCTGCCTCCACGACTTTTCCTCGCCTTCGGGTTTGGTGACTCACGACCCTTCTTCGTCTCTCCCAGGACATGACCTCAAATTTCACCCCCTGTGAAATTTGAGTACATGTGAATCAATCAGTCGGCCTGGACACACCAGAGCCCCACAGCTGAGCTACCAGCTGACCTCCTTCCTCTGCACCCCAATCGACACCTGACCTTACCCAGCCCTCTACAGCAGCTTGCGGTCACAATTACCCATCTCTTCACCCCCCCCCACAACGTCACACACGACTCATCTGCTAGCCCTCCTCTCCTTTCCTCGCCCACTCCGCAGTGGCTTTATCCAATGGCGTCTGGGTCGCCGGACTAAAGACGTCAAATGTAACCAATTGCTGAGGAGCTATTCTCAAAGACTCCCGCCTTCATTCTGAGGAGCAGCTTCGTTGACCAATGGATTCCCTTCTAGAGGCAATAAGCACGCGGGGCAAGTAGAGAAGCGGCTGAACTGCCCAATGAACAGGCGGTTTCCGTGGTTGGGGGCGTGGCAGAAGCGGTCGTCAGGGGCGTGCCGGCAGTTGCTTGGGCGGGGCCGGTAGCGGCGGGAGCTGCACTGGCCAGGGGTTCCGTCTGTATATCCGTAAGCGCCGCCGGCAGCCGCGGAGATTCAGGACCAGACTGGAGGCGAGCTGAGCACCTGTAGTCAATCACACGCAGGTAAAGCCACGGCCAAGCGAGCTCCGCGGAGTGGGGATAGCACCCCGGACCCGGCGAACCGAATCCTCGAGCCCCGAGGTTCCCGGCGCAGCTCGGCCCATCACGCCGCAGCCTGAGGGGATCCTCGGATCCTGGGGTGACGTCCTTGGGGGCCTGTTCTCTGGCGCCGCGGGGGTCCCCAGGGCTGGCTTGCCCAGGGGCGGGGGCAGCCCAGATCGCGGCAGGGGATACGCCTTCCTGAGCCCTTTGTCCCCTCCTGCCCGAGGAACCGAGGTTTGGGACAGCCCCGACCGCGGCCTCTCTGGCTGCCATCCCCACCTCGGTGCCCACCCTTGGGGCTTCTGGGGTTTGGGGAGGGGTCTGCCGGTTCAGGCTTGGGTAAGAAAGTCCGGGATCCGCCCCTGGAAGGAGAGGGCCGAGGAGCCTGATTACAGCCCCAGATACCCGAGAGGCCTTTGCGTTTCGGGGCTCCAGCGGCACACCCAGTACCAGTGGGTTTAAGTTCTAGGGAGGCAGCTTTTGACCCACTTGCAAGCACATTTGCAGAGTTCGGCTCGGCGCCCGGCACTGTTCTAGGCACTTCGTGGGCTTTTCCCACAGCTAGAGCTGTCCAGCAGCGCAGGAGGCCGCCTGCCAGGCCAGGCAGCTGGCGCCTCGACCTTGGCAATGTCCAAGCAGTGGCGGATGACAGCTACCTGTGCGAGAGGCTTAGAAAGGACTCCCGGGGAGGACCGCATGACGCTTCTGTAAGGCCCTTCTCTCTTCCCACAGGTGCACTCTAGGTGACCTTTAATGCCTAGCTAGAGAAGAGTATTTCTGGGGGTCCATTAGGTGCCAAGTGGCTGTTGAATTCACCCATCATGAATTTTGAGGTTTCAGCTCTCAAGAGTGGGCGTTAGCAAAGAGACTGGATTATACAAAAAGATAGAGGTTTATTTAGCCACTAGGAAACTTCTTAATTTGGTCTACCATGGACCTCTCTCTTATTCCTTCCGATTCCTCTATTTTGGTGGCTGGACCTCCAGTTTGTCAGTTTCACCTGCATTCCAGTAACCAAATCCAAACGCAGCTTCCAAGAACAGGCTCCGTAGAGGGACCTGGAGAGTGCAGGTTTGGCAGAGTCAGCGAGATCTGTGTCCAGAACTTTTCGAAGGCCATTTCCTTACAGCCACATTAAACAGATCCAAAAGAGAAACCCTTCACTACCCTCTGTCATTTGCCTGAATAGAGAGAACATAATAATCTTCTAAAGGTCAGGAGGCAGAGAAGGAATCTTAGCACAAGTTGCTCTGCATTTTAGGATGAATTAGATCTTTGAATAGCTAGTCAGAAAGCAGACCAGTCCATATACTGCTGGTAGCCAGCATGGACTTGTGACATTTTAGAACTGAAGGCCCACCGGGCACGGTGGCTCAAGCCTGTAATCCCAGCATTTTGGGTGGCCGAGGTGGGTGGATCGCGAGGTCAAGAGATCGAGACCATCCTGGTCAACATGGTGAAACCCCATCTCTACTAAAAATACAAAACATTAGCTGGGCATGGTGGCGCGTGCCTGTAATCCCAGCTACTCAGGAGGCTGAGGCAGGAGAATTGCTTGAACTCGGGAGGTGGACGTTGCAGTGAGCCGAGGTCGTGCCACTGCACTCTGGCCTGGCACCTGGTGGCAGAGTGAGACTCTGTCTCAAAAGAAAAAAAAAAAAAGAACTGGGGCCGGGCGCGGTGGCTCAAGCCTGTAATCCCAGCACTTTGGGAGGCCGAGGCGGGTGGATCACAAGGTCAAGAGATCGAGACCATCCTGGTCAACACGGTGAAACCCCGTCTCTACTAAAACTACAAAAAAATTAGCTGGGCATGGTGGCGCGTGTCTGTAGTCCCAGCTACTCAGGAGGCTGAGGCAGGAGAATTGCCTGAACTCAGGAGGCGGAGGTTGCGGTGAGCCGAGATCGCGCCATTGCACTCCAGCCTGGGTAACAAGAGCGAAACTCCGTCTCAAAAAAAAAAAAAAAAAAAAAAAAAAAAAAAAAGAACTGAAGAACTGAAGGCCCCTTAGATACAGCTCATCTCTATGTCTAATTAGATAGACTCTAATTCAGTCTCCTCAATGCACAGGTGAGGAAACTGAGGCCTGGGGTGGTCACAAGGCTGGTTGGTCATCACAGACCAATGACTAAGGGTTGATCTCTTGACTTTAGATCTAGCCAGTGCATGACTTATTTCACTCCAAGCTTAGTTAGCTCATTCTCAGTGTTTTAAGTTCTATGGCAGTCCAGAGAGATTGGGAGGACAGATTTTGGTGCCTAAGTGCCTGGATCCTAGCCCTGCCTGTTACTGGCTGTGCAACCTTGGGCAAGCTACCTAACCTCTCTGTGCCTCTGTTTCCTCACCTCTAAAACAGAAATAATAATGATATATTAGAAGGTTGTTTTGAGTTACTATACCTGAAGCATTTAGAACAGTACCTGACACAGGGTAAGCACTATAGATTTGCTAGATATGATATTCTTTTTCCTTTTTATATATAATTTTTCATATCCACCACCCAGTATTTCCTATCAGAAGCTAATTTTCCCCCCAGTCCCCTTCCCCCAACCCCCCAATTCATTGAACATATTCCAGGTTTCATTTTAACACAGACATCTGCAGGGGTTTCCAAGTCAGGTTGCATTTTATATCTTACTTATTTTTCTGATTCAGGTAATTCAGTTTCTATGTAAGTTCCCCCCTTGCAGTTACATTCTTCTTAGTCTCTGAACCTTTTTAAATTCTTCTTAAATGCAGGCAGTGAGTGGGGTGGGAATCCCTCGAAATGGTGAAGTCCGGGATGATACCAGTGTCTGTGGTGTCCTTCCAAATATGTATTCCGTCTCTTCAGCCCTCCTCCCCAGTGATCAGTGTGATGCAGCTTGATTCTAAATAGATGAACATTTTTAGATTAAGATTTTATGAGCCACCGTATTAAGTGCTTTCGGGAAGTTCAGGGATCGTGTGTCAACCGCATTTAAGCAAGTTACTTAGTCATTCGAGTAGGGGGAGCACCAGCAGCGCCTGCCTGGCCTGGCAGAAGCAGAAGTGTGTGACTGATCCATGCTGGCAATCTAGCTTGTTCACTGGTTTATCTGCGTTTTTCCTGTTCTTTTCCAGAGCTTGAAATAAACCAGACAGCAAGTACAATGGAATGGTTTTTTTCCTCTAATTTTATGGGGGTCATTGGCTTCCTTCCGTCTTTACTTTCACCTTCATTTCCTTTATCGCCTTCACGGGTCTGACAAATAGCTACTATCACTGTGCCGGCCAGTTCCCTTTTGATGAAAAGATGCCTGCCACTTCCAGTTTTTGCAGGAATCCAGTCAGTCACCTTTGATTTTTCTCTTCTGTTTTTACTTGTTTTCTAGATTGAACCCAGATTATTACTTCATTAAATGGCACCTTCTTATGCTTTATTTTTCTTGAGTTGATTCTGAATTTGATTTTTGTTTAGGCTATTTTAGAGGTCAGCCATTTTAGAATAATAGTTTTCATTTCTTTGCTTGTGTGTTAATATGGGCCCCTTTCTCTCTTTCTCACTCTGTTTTCTCAACATTTTGGTGGAAGGGCTTCTCATTTGCTGTTACTTATTGCTTTGAGCATGAACACCTTCTGCTGGTAATCTCTGGCAGGACCCATAACCTCTGTAGTGATTCCCACTGCCCTTGTTCAGAGCTCCTGGCCTGAGCAGGAAATAATTTCTTTGGTCTTATTGGAGACAGGTGCAGAGTCTGTCTTATTTTTGGCCTAAAATCTGGCTCTTTTAAAAGCCCCGGCAGAGAGACATTTCCAATATAATGGAATTTCGTGTGACAGAATTTCTGCCATGACCTATAGCTTACCTTTCTCCCATTTTTATTACATTATGAGTTTTGAGTACTCCCTGACCTGTTTCAGAGTAAAGATGATGTGGGGCATGAGGTGTTTAAGCCTTTCTGTTTCATCTTGGGCTAAGCTATCCCCAGCAACAGAGCAATGAGAAGTTCAGGGTGCCTCTTAAATGTCTGGTGTTAGGATTTTATAGCAGCTTTGCATGGTTCAGCATTTTGGCCCGTGCATGATTAGGACATTTTTAAGCCCTGTGCTGCTGTTTCTGTGTTGATACCACACAGGTGCTAAAGTTACCCCTTTTCAAGATTATTTTCATATCTGCAGATTTCTTTTTTTGTTGTCTTGTCCAGGCATCATGTTTTTGGATTAAATGTTTTCTGTTTGTAAAATGGTTGGTGTGGACAGATGATAAGCCCCACTGTTACCCCTGAGGCTTGTGGACTGGGCCCAGTCGGGTGAGCGGCATGTTACATACCGACCCATCGCCTCATGTTTTGCAATAGTTAAATAGCAGACAAGTGAAGAGCTTTGAGAGAAGTGGAACATTGATACCCTTGGGTCTGCCTGATTTCTGATTTTCTTTTGTTGTCTTTAAGTGGAGGTTCATTAAGTTCAACAAATTGAGCATCTGGTGTGTGCCAGGAACACAGTTGACCAGATTAACAAATGTGTTTGGTTTGTTTCATAAAAACTATTTTGTTTTTAAATGGTTTTTATTAGAAATTAAAAAATTTTTTAGTTCAAATTTTAGTTTTTAAAAATAGGTAATACAGTCACATGATGAAAGAAAATATTTGAAAGGCACAAAAGGTTAACTAGTAAATACGTCTCTGTGTACCCCGACCCCTGATCCTCAGAGGCAACCAGTGTCATGATTTCTTCAACCTCCAGAGGCGGTCT